CTTTCCCTCACAGAACAAAACTGGTCATTTTTATCAAGATCTGCTGCTTCTGCGGTCCTCTCCAAGACTGGTAAATATCACCCACTTCCTAAAACACTGTTTCCCCACTCCTCCCTACCTTTCCAGTTAGCTCTTGACTGTTGTGTGTTTTGCTGAATGAACTTTTTTTTAAAAAATCCTCATTTTCTCTGTTAATAAAAATGTGAGGTCCATGTTCTGCCTCAGGTGGCAATCCTCCAGTTACCGTAGTTGCTCACCAGGTTCTGCTCAAGGAAGCGTCCTGGGGGAGGGGTGAGACAAGAAGAAAGGAGGCAAAAGGAAACCTCAGTCAGGCAGGGGATCAGGTTAGGTTCACCTGGGATATCCCTCTGTCTGCACAGACCAAACCTTCAGCCAGTCAGGCTATGGGGATGTGGGTCTCTCTGAGCTTCAGGTACTTTCCCCAGTCTCATCTGTGTCTCGTCCTCCTCGATCTCCAGCCTCTCTTTCCTCTTATACCCATGCCCCACTCCCAGCACCCTCTCGTGTAACAGCCCCGTCCTTTCCTGCTTAGCCCCGCCCCTCTTTATAACATTCCACGCTGACTGCTCTGGTGGGGTGGCTCCTCCTTCCTGCTGTCGATTGCTGGGTACGGAGGCTGCTTTCTGCTCTGCAGGCTGAATTCCACTCCTCCCTCCCTCGTCTCCTCTTTCCATTTATTTCCCCTTCATGGTTCTCTGGTATGTCTTCTTGCCCGACCCCCGAGCTCTGTGCAGCTTCTTTCTTCCCCCCGTGGCTGCAACTCCTGTCGAACTGCCTCCGCATTTGATGCCGATGGTCTGCCTTCCCTTTTTGGTGAGTTAGTCTGTTTGGGGTCGCTCCTGGCCAGTCCCGGGAGAATGGGAGCCGGCTGACCGGGACAAAAAAAATACTATTTTGAACAAATTGCCTGTTTATTTGAGATTTATCACATGGACAATCCCAATGAATGTTGGTATTTCAATCTCTGTTGCCCACTCTCGCACAGTCTCCTATGCTAATTCCCCCCAACTAATTGGAAATGGCCCCTTTGGGTAACACGACCACTCCATTTCACTAAGTGTGGACCCTTCTTCTAGTACAGAAAGTTTTATGTTGGCAGTAGAGGCTTTTTCCCCTGAGGAATGCTTGTTGTGCCAGAAGAAGCTTCTGTATATAGCAAAGTAAACTGGTAGGATCCAACCCATAAGTACAATATAGTTAACTACTTATTCAAAGACATACATTGTAAAAGTGTGAAATCATACTGTGGTCTAATTGGGGTATATTGACACAGTGCACAACTCATCAGTAAGTTGAACTTAAAGTCTATGTGACAGCCCTAGCAGAACTGTGTTTATTCACACTCTCCAGAACTGGGGCTTAGGTTTGACAGAAGAGACTGGACAGGAGGTTGAAAACTGCCAGTCTAGCCAAACAGAAAGTATCATTGCTCCTAGAAAGAGGAGGATGTTTCTTACCCAGTTATTCAGAGGGTTCAACTCAGAAGGGACCCCTGGTTTGTGTGAAAAGGGAAACAGTCCTAGACTCTTCAAGAATAGAAAAGGGAAAGTTATAATCCCACAAGGGAAGTATTTACATACAGGAAGAAAGTCCTAACTTTCCAGGAAACTTTATTAAGACACATTGTTGCTGAAAGAAATCTCCAAGACAAACAAACTGCTCAGAGTTAAGAACTGAGTCTCTAGGAATACAAGCTTCAATTATATACTCTGTTGCCTGTTCAAAATATTATAATTTGTATAAACAACCAAATTTATCTCAACTTCTCATCCCCTGCCTTATTCCTAACTCAGCTGTGCCTGTTCAATAAATGAACCTTTCTGTTTAAACGTTACTTTGTGTCAAGTGCCATTTCCAAAGGGATTTATAAGAAGGCTCCTGCTGAGTTACAATAAATCTCTGGCCTGGGCAAAAGCCAAATAATTTTATGACAGGATGGGACATGCAGAAAGTTATACTTCTGTAATTCAAATATACTACTAAGAGGCTGCTCAGAAAGAGTGGGGAACAGTGTTTTGGTGGAAGATCTGCCTCACAGAGAAGCAGCAGCAGGAGTCCATCATAAATGGATCTTGCAATGCCTCTATTTTTCCCTTTGCTCTTTCATCCTCTGTTGCTCAGGATCCACACTTCACTTTATTTCCAAGGATAGTTCTCTTACCATTAATGCCTAGCACTGGAATAAACCAGAGAATGCCCTCCTGTTCACTTCATGCTCATCACCCAAGGTGTGGAAAGCAGGGATAATTGCAAGATGACTGAAATGTCTCCTCAGAGAACTATAATTTGAAGTTTATGTCAATTTAAGAAGCTTGATACCCTAACTTGACTGCAGCATAGTAAAAAGAAAATCCCCAGATTGACTATCTCTGCTCATAAAAGTGATTTAGATTGCTTCTTTCCACTCATGCTTTTGGCTTGACTGTCCAAATCAATTAATGTGATAAATAATAGATTACAGCTTTTTCCCCATTCAAGCAAAAGGTTTGCATTTTACGTTTATGAGTGGTAGGAACACAAAGCTTCAAACAAAAGCTCTTCACATCCGGACCTCATGAGCTTGACGATGTGACTTCATCCCCCCCCCCCCTTTTGATTCTGCCCATCACCAAGGTCAATTTTTTCTCAGAGTTTGGAGGATATTTGGAGCTAACTACCAGTAGCAAAGACAAGCAGCACAGCTTATGGTGTGTGTGTGGAGGGGTGATGGTGTCATTCCTGTCAGGCCATAGGCACAAAAGGTCAGCAGAGCCCAGAATGAAGCCATGTCCCTGAGCAAAAGACTACAAATTTGGCATGAAGAGCAAAGGAACATGGAGCAGGCAGAGCATCTGAAACAAGTGAAATATTTGCCAAGTCAGGCCCAGAGCCAAATATTCTTGGCTGTGTTTTGCTATCCTTCCCTATTAGGCAAGGTTGAAAAAAGTAACTAAAAGTAGAGTAAAGCTGGTGTACTCTTCAGAGTCCCTGGATGGAAGGGCTTCTGGCAACTCTATATCCTACTTCAGCATATGTGGAATTTGACTCCTGCTGCCCTACATTTAAGATCCTTTGGTTCCTCCAGTGCTGATGGGGGGAGGAGGGAAGCATTTACTATAGCCCTTTTTGGCCAAGGCCCTAAACCCCTCACTTCAACTCACATCACTATATATATATAAACACCTGGGGTTCATCAAGTGGTGCTCATGGCAAATGGGTATTAGTTATGCTACTATAAACTAGTAGCTCTTATTTTAATTCCTTACTCGTGTCTAGCTGATCAGATTCCTTGTGTGGCTGGAATTGTATACATCTGGTGATGGGATGCAATCAGCCACCAGCATTGTCAGTGTGCCACTGTCTTGTACAATTCACCTCCTCCAAAACCTTCCTTCCTTTGTTACAGCTACAACCGCAGGACAGAATTCTAATGTAAATTTTACTTATAAATATACCTGGTAAATGCCATTGGAAGGGGTCTATTGGTATCTTCACGTTTCAGACAATTATGTTTGCAAATCTACATCTAGAATCCTGTAGGGGAAAACATAGATGGGGGAAAACACAGTAAAAGAAAGACTTAAACACCACATCTCCCCTTCTACTTTTAAAACAGCTTTTACAAAACAGCTACAAAGACAAAACAGTTTTTAGTTTAACAAGAAGTGTTGAGTATAAATCAGTTTGGCTTCCACATTCCAATGGCGAGTACTTTCCATCGGTATTTCAAGAACAAAGAAAAGAGAAGTTGATTCTGGAAAATGCATACTCTTACACACAATAGTCTAGAACGGCCTTTTTCTTGCTGTCATTGATCACAGTCCTACTGCACTTCTGCTGCTGCTGCACCTAAATTATGTGCCTTGCAGAGTATGTTCCCCGTGTCTTATTTTCATGGCAGAATGGCTTTCACATTTGCTGAATCAGCTAAATATCTTCCAAAGTAACAGGGGTTTGTATTTGTCTAATCACTTCAAGCAACTGAATTCCACATCTGGATTACCTTAGATAGAAAGGCTGTCTCCCCCATACTCTGATAGGAAGCTTTATAATCTGCCTTATATCAAAGGAGGTTAACTGTTCTACATTTTTTCTTCAAAAAATGTGTCTTTAAACAAGCCTCTGTACAATTATGGTTCCATAACTAAAGAATACCATTGTTTTTGCCCATATGTGATCTGGATCTCATGTATTAGAGCATCACTTCTAAGGGTATTACCATCCCTAATATTAATATCCTTAGTTCTAGTATTAATATCATCATCCATTATATGACAAAGGACAAATGAGTCATGATCACATAATGTATGGAGTTAAGCTATTATTAGAGAGGTGAGCAAACGTTCTTTCTTTCTGCTAGCCATTTATATTTTTGTAAATTGTTACGAGACAGACTGATTTTATGTTTTTATATCTGATACACAAGCAACACACATGGACTGTGCACATTCATTTGTATACCATGAGCCAAAAGAAAGCTGTTTGCATCACCTATTTTGAGAGACAGAATTCACATAGGGAAAGACTTGCCTGCATTTATGTTAGTGTAGCTTGCACACATTCAGCTAGCAAGGCATTGTGGGAACAAGAAGCACATGGTTTGCCATTGTGATCAGAAACAACAACTCTGAGAAGAAAATCCCCCATTATTGGAGATACGAGATTTCACGAAGGCATGGACCATAACGGCATTTGTATAACAGCATCCTGTTTACTGCATCCTGTGTGCCTGGAAAGGCCAGCTTCATTTGTACTTCAAAGGAGCAACAGGAAGAAAAGACTTAACACCTAGCCAAATGGTATTCCATGTGATAGAGGATAGTATTTCAAATATTGGCCCTCCCATAGGAGTACCTGCCCCTTTCCACATGAGCCAATCAGGGTAGTTCATGGGATGGACCTGTTAGTAGGTGGGACCACAGTCTGGCAAGATGCCACCCACCTAGAGATTCAGTATATAACGCAGAAACCATGCTTTAAGCGGGGCTGCTGGCTGGCCACATTCTACTCCCCCTCCATCTTTCCTTGAGTTAAAGCTCTTTGTTTGAATCTCTCTGGGTTGCGCAGCCAGAGACATTCACACACACTAGCTAGCTCATTCTAAGCAGTGTGAATGAGCAATCAACCCCAGGGACCTTTCCCTTCCCTTCCAATTACCATTGCAACCAGACAAGACTTCTAGATCAGGCAAGTATAAATCGAACTAGCTACCTCCCCTCTGTCCCAGTAACTAAAAAACTATTTTATATTCTTTCTTTAACACTAAAGGAAACTTGTATG